TATACCTTAGTTACTGGACTGTTCTTATCTCAACCTGTGGGAGTTACATTCTTTCCATTTCTCTCCCCATCCCTCCGGGAGGGGGGACAGAAAGGCAGGGGGAGTGAGCGAGCGGCTGTGTGGTTCTTGGTTGCCAGCTGGGCTTAAACCACAACAGCAGCTGACGCATGCTAAGTTAAAATAAGTTTCTCTAGAATGCATGGTAATTTATTATCATGCTGAAAATAAGTTTCATCCATCAGTGTCTTATCTTTTGTCTAATGCAATAATAGTAATTGAAATGATGAATATTTAATTATAGATTACATAAACCGACAAGGCTAAATTAGGTACCACTTGCTTTCAGTGGGAACACAGTGCGGAACTTCAGCCTTAAGCTTTAATATATGTAAGAAAGAGCAATATTTCATATCTAGGTGCATGTCTATCTAGGGAATAAAGGCCCATATGGATTAAGTACAGTGACTTCCCTCCCATGCTTCCAGCAGGTGCCATCTTAAAGCTATATGATTCTATTAACACGGAGTCAGAAAGAGAACATATTAGCACAAGACTGTGCCAAACGTAAGGAGACTACAGAATTTTCTGACAAGAGACATTCCATGCCCTGACAATTCAGAACAATCACTGAACATTTTGCACCCTCTCAAGCAGATTTAATTCTGGGTCGTGGGGGCAAAGGGGAAAACAAACAAACAAAAAAAGATAGGAAAACCATAAAACCAGACAAATCCAACTCTGAAATAGTTAACTGAGTAGTGAATAATTCTAAAACCCCAAATTCAAACTTTTCTAGAAATTTTCATGGTAAAGTAGAATCACAACTACCTTCATAAATAAGAAACTTTTGAAACTGTGTCCTTGATCTCCACTGATTCTGTTGTGTTAGCTTTTTTTAATACTACCAACTGAAAATACATAGATATATTAGAAAGATATATGGTTATTAATGACATCTAGGCAAGAACTAGTTGTTAAGTAAATCATTTTCCCTATTAAATTTCTACTACTTATGAAACTGAAGCAATTAACTTGTCAAATAACTCAGTTGCAAATATCTGTCCTAGCTGTTTCAGAGACATATTACCTTGAAAATCAGTGCGTTTAACTTTATTGTTTCTGCACATATGGAAAGAATGGCTGTCTTACTAAGTTCCAGCAGTCAGTGCTTCTTTAAGTAAGATGTTGAAAGCCCTCATGTCCCCAGAGTCTTGTTAAAGCAGCTGGACAAATGACAGATCTAGACTACATGATCCTTCACGAACTGCTCTTCCATGATTTACAAAAAGAGTAAAACTAGTACTTTCTACATTTGATTTATTTTCTTCTTACCCTTCTTATTCTCATCAATGTGAACAAAGGAAAAAAAAAAACCCAAAACAAACACTTTAAAAATGTCTGTGGGGTTTTATTCACTGATTTCCTTTTAAGCCAAAGTTTTAAACCTGCAATATTTTCCAAGAAGAAAGTACCCCTCTTCACCACTGGCAATATCCTGAATTACTACAGATAAAGCTAATCTTTTCAGGACCTTATAAACACAGCTAAGAAATCTTTTAGAATTGCAGGCTAGGAATCTCAGCGACATCTCAAATTCTTAAGTAAATAAATGTATTGCATATATTTATATACTAACTATTGTAAGACTAACAGCATTTGAACAGATCTACCATAAGCAAGCGATCACTAGACATCACCACAAAATGAAAATTTTGAGAAGCTCATTACAGTGACAGATGTGTTACTTGACAGCCTGTGCAGAAAAGACCAAATAGAGTAACTTAATATTGAAATAATTTACCAATATTTGACATTAAAAACAAAATACTGATCTCTACTGTGTACATGTCTAGACTATACTTGCACCATTACAATGAAGTCTTTTGCAAATTTTAGTGGCACACAGGAAAAAATATCTGTGATGAAATCTCTCACCCAAAGGAAGGGTTTCGTAAAGTTTTTGGTTATTCCATTTCAGAAGACATAAAGACTGTCTGTTATTACTGTTCTGTTTAAGCCAAAGAAATTTTTAATTCCACTAACAATCATATCTTCACAAGTAACTTGTTTCTCAAGATTCCTTCATAAAATTTATCCTTATTTTATTGTAATCCTAAGAACAGAAAGCCTGAAATATCCAGAGAGTCCTAGCATGTGTACTGGGCTGACCTTGTCTGGCTGCCTGGTGCCCATCCAGATGCTCTCTCAATCCACCTCAACAGGACAGGGAGAGAAAACAAGATGAAAAACTTCATGGATTGAGATAAAGACAGGTTTCCACCATGGGCAGAACAGACTTGACTTGCGGAACACTGATTTAACTAATTGCCAATAAAAATGGGGTAGGATGGTGAGAAACAAAGATTAAAATACTTATTCCCCCCATTCCTTTTTCCCAGGCTCAACTTCAGTTCTTCATATCTTACATCTCTTCTTCCCTCAGGTGGTACAGGGGAAAAAGGGAATGTGGAGTTATGGTCAGTCCACAACAGCTTCTCTTCTCTCCTATACCTTCCTTCTCACACTTCTTTGCAAAAGTTGCAGTGTAGATCAATTCGCCCATCTGAGTTCTCTTCTGCAGGCTGCAGAGGAATCTCTGCTTCTGCATGGCTGCAACTTCTCCCCTTCTTCTCCAGGTTTGGTGTCACTGGGCTGTTCCTTTCACATTTTCCCTCACTTCTCAGTGCCATGCAGTGTTTTGCCCTTTCTCAAATACCCTTTCCCAGAGGCACCAACACCTTGTTCCAGGGTCTCATCCATGCCCTGCGGTGGATCAGCTGGAGCCAGCTGGAACACACCTAGCTGGAGCACAGACACCTAGCATGGCTTGCTTTCCCTTTTTTGATCCTTCTTCATGCCCCACAGCCTTGAATCCTTTTCCTCAAGCCCCCAGCAAGCTAACATCACCCTTTCACGACCTTCAAAGAGATGCCTCTTTGTTTTAATCAATAGTTTTCAAATATTAAGTACTTTTATTACTATTACTTCTAAGATAGCAGCATAACTTGATTTGCTGTACACATGGCAAACATTCACACACTTTTTTTAGTATTTTATGAATGTTTGCATTTCTAATTAGATGCCAGAACATACTTCAGTCTAAATGCATCGAGTTCCTGCACATATTTTCACTTACCATTATTCCTCAACTATATCTACGAATATCTGCTGTACTGTAACATTCATAATGTAAAATACTTGGAATTTGTACTTAAAGATTTGCAATACACTGTTTAACAAAACCCTAATGTATCCGTGACTACGTAGAATATTGTATTCACTTTAAGCCTCAAGAGTAAAAAATAACCCCAAACATGCACTGTATTTGCTATAAAAACAGATGGATCGTTACTGGCTCAGTTCCCAACTTAGCGACTACATCTATTTTTAAATGTTAATGTTTAAATTAGATGATTCCATATTCTTCAGAATACTGTTTATGTTTCAGAGTTATTCTGGGAAACACTACTGCCCTCTCAACACTGAGGAAGAATGTAGCACAGAAAAGTTTTCTAGGGGCAAGCCATATCATCTATGATAAACACAAACGGGGACACATTTCAACAACAAACTGCATGGGAAGCACAGAACTGCCCTGCTGCAGACACCAGAGCACTGAGTCCAAGTGGGTTGGGTACATGTTTCTTCTGGTGACATGGTCAGCCCTATGTACAAATGCTGGTGTGTTTCCCAAAGCTATTCATTAGCTTGTGGATCCAGTTAATCTAATACATTATTGAAAAATCCTATGTTGCTGTGCAATAACAACTCTGAATGCTGCCTTTATGTCATCTGACACTTGGCATACCATAGCCCAGAGAGCTGCACATAACTGTCTTGCCTTTTCTGTGGATGTTAGTCCACACTTGAGTTACAGGTACTGCAAAGCCACACTTTAGCTACAAGTGAGAGCAAATTATTTCCTGTCAAAAGGATCTTTCATAGCAGTATATCTGTTCATCTAGAATACTATTGCAACAAAGGGAAGAGATTAAGCATGCTCACAATACAGACTGTATCAATATAGTTCAGTTGAACATACTGAAACCAGCACACACACATTTGCACTGACCTCGGAGATGTTCCTCCCACTCATACACTGTAAACTGACTCAAACCCAAGGCTAAAGATGGCTTCATCTTCAAAGCTGAAGCTATTAGCAGAAACTTCGTGGGACTTGGAAATTTTTTGGGGTGTACCACCATGTTTGCACAGCTGTCAGCTATTTCACTTACATTTCAAGCTACCTAACTGTAAGCAAACCTCATTTTAGGTTTCTGATTTTTTCATGCTCACTTTTTAAATTTCTGCATTTAGAAACCAAATTCATGGCTATTGACATTATTCGAGAAACTCGCATAAGTTAGACCATAAAAATCAACAGTTACCATCACAATAAAAAACCCAAGCAAAAACAAACCAGCACATTAAAATGCACAGCGACTTTACAATAAACAGAAAATATTTTGATTAATTCTGAATCTGAGTAAGAAATTCTACTGCTTAATCAAATTCATCAGGGATATCAACTAGCTGTGTACTTACTAAGCACCTAGTGAAATAGTATAGTCTTCTAGCAAAACTAGTACAATCAGTAAGTGTTCACAGAGAGAAAAATGATTCAGTTGCACTGCTTCTACATTAAGAAATATGCTGGCAGCACATTCATAGGCTACCATAGCACATCCTGTCAAAATCTCAAGGAAGAATTGCACCTAGTTACACAACAATCCTTTCCCACAGGACAGGTGCAGGGGTTTTGTACTTTTGTTTTTTTTGCACAGGTCCTTTTCCCTGCTTTGTACTGACAGTATTAGCTAGATAAATACTTTCTTCATTTGCTATCTCCACCAGTGTGCCTAAATTGTTCTGTTTCCTGGATGTTAGCTGAGAGCCATGGCTAAAGGACCACCTCAATTTGTTCTGGTTTATTTACAACAAACATAGTAAGAATAGTTCTGTTTAGAGGAGATTTAAAATCTTTTGTATATAGTACATACCAGTTCCTTTGCTTATATATGGAGGCTTGAAGAATTTCACAATGCCATACAAATTCACCACAGTTCCATGCTTAAGATGATTCAGAGGAGTGTACACATATTTGGGTGCAACAGACTGCAAAGGTGTGATACAATTAGGGAACATAAGAAAATATTATTCAAACCTTCTCCCCCAGAATTTTGTCTTTTAATACCATCCACCCTCAGATACGCTTTATCTGATCATACTTAAAAAAAAAATAAAAAATATTTCTTTCTATCTATCTTAGACTCTCTGAACATAAATATATTTACAGGCAATAAAGCACAAAAAGACCCCAGACTTATTGCCATCTCCTTTTGAGGTAGCATCTTCCTTACAATAAACTGATCAGTTAACTAGCTTCAGTACATGAAACAGGTGAATAATAAGGACGGAAAGTAATTTTTTACAGATAGGTTTTAACATGTCCATTCAAAGGGCTTTTTAATGCATATAAATAATTTTGTAATCCTTATTGGCAGTGTCACTGCACAGAATCATTGTCTTGTGGTGGGCAGTATCTCCCTCAGTCACTGGGTAAGTCTTCCTATCAAAATAGCACACTTGTTGGATTAAACAAATGATACCTTTTATTGTTTAAGGACTGCTTTCCTGACATCTTAAGGTTACATTATATGCTGATTACCTTTTCTTTTCAGAATACGAGTTCTGCCAAACTGATTGAAAACTCTTTATAAAATTAACTCGAATCCAAGCTGTCACTGTCAATACTGAACCTTTATGATAAAGAACAATAAAATTCCATATGCTAACCCCTATGCCTTTAATACACTATTTCCTGTTGAATCTTTGTTTAGACACATAAAGGTTTGTTCCAAACGGTAATCAAAAGTACTGTTAAGACCAGTACCTGAATTCTGATTTTAAATCAAAGGAAGAGCCGTATTTCCATTTTTTTAAAGCACAAGCATACAATCTTTTTTAGAATGGTTACCTTTCTACTTCAGATATTCCTAAACAAATATGCAAACCCTTCTGAGATAGAGAACCTGCAAGTATAGAAAAAGTACTACTTTTTCATACTTTATTCTTTTTTCCAGGCACTTTATTTGCAAAATTAAAAGCTAAACATATGACTGCTGGTGATGAGAGTATGGAGTAAAAAAAAACAGGAAAGAAAAAGAATTTTACATTCTCATTTATATGCAGTTAGTCTCACATGACTTAAAAACATCCCGAATATAAACTTACCACCAGTGCAGTTTTTGAAGCAGCAGTTGTTGTTTGTGTACTGTAAATCTGAGGAGAAAAAAAAATAATAGCAAACTCTCTGATTAAAAAACTGAAGGCATTGGAAACTTAACTCTACAGCAAATATAACGCTAAGGCAAACACAAAGCAGCACTACAGACAGTTTTGCTACGTGAATCACCTCTGAAACTAGTAATATGTTTTTATAATGAAAAAAAGAAAACATTTACTCCAATTACACTCAAACAAAGCTACTTTAAACAACATACACTTTCTAAAGCAGAAATACATAGTTGAATATAGGTCAGGTCACACGAATAGAGTCAGCATCTGAAAGTCAGAGGCCACAAATTTAAAATTGCACTTGCTTAACAGAGAACTTCAATGGATTTAGGTTTTGTACATGTCAATGCTTAGAGCATTAGATCTACTTTTAGTGACTCATTACTCTCCTTTGGGGGAAAAAATATATATTAAAAAAAAAAAAAAAGAAAAAAAGAAGAAGGTTAACGCAAATTCACCAGAATGGTATAAATTCTATTTAAAGGTAGTTCCTAAGCTTCTAGAGCCATACTTGTAAGCCAGACTTATCTTCAGTGTAAGGTCTTTTAAGGACCCTACTGTGATGATTTGACAATATTAACACCTAACCACCCTATAATGAAAAACACAGGGCTCAGCTGACACCCTGATGCAATGCTGCTGTCTGTCTGCTTGAAGCAGGGTCCCACTTACAGCTGCATGTTGCCTGCTAGGGATATGGTTTTGCTCTTCACACTCAACTGCATTTCTGAAGTAAGATTAATTTATTTAAATAGTTGAGTGAACAGTTATAATTGAGAAAGTGATTCATGCAAAAATTCAGACAATTCATACTAATTTTAAACATTCAATGAGTGTGTCAGTAAATTAAGTGCCACAGGCTCCATTCTGTGGTCAGTGATGAGACAGACACATCCTCAGCCTCCTCAGCACAACCTAGACATTCAGTGAGCTGCACATCTTCCTTCATATTGTTTGTAAAGATGTGCTGCCAATACTCAAGTTGTGCCAAAATTCAGGTACCTTTAGACACATTCACTCAGACTCAGGGTATAGCTTTACTATCCAATATCTTCAATGATGTATTTTCTCTACCTTTACAGAATCAACAATGTCATGAAACAATCTGCATTACAATTTGAATTAATTTTGTTTCTCATTGAGCTGCATCCCAAGCTTTAATTATCTGTAGAGGTAAAAATTCCTTTCTGGACCAAAAAACGTATTTTCTTAAGTGTAAAACTGACAGACAACAATTATACAAATGTAAGTTCAAACCTTGATATGAGCACAGGATTTATGTTAATAAGAATTTTTATATGATATTTCTGTGTTTAAGTTTTTGTAATTATTTCTAACTTTGTTTCAAAATCTGACAGGCCCAAAGGAATCAACATAAAGCTGCACTGCTCTCCAGTGAAGGTGCCTATTCTTTTTCACTGACTACAGAATGGAGTTCACAGGACTATTACTGAGAGCTCAGTTCAGTGCTATCATCCTTCTTTTTAATAGCAGTAGACAATTACAGTGATCAAAATTGTGCAACACTTTCTCACCAGATATCCTTAACTGTTGGGATAATTTTCAAAGACACATGAAGTGTTTAAGCCTGCTTAAGTGTTCAACAAAGTTGTTGCAACTCTATTACCATTCCACATCTCTTTCCCTCCACTACAGGTTTCCAAATGTAGAATAATATCCTAAATCCTTTGGTATTTAAGCTTCTGTGATTTTTTTAAGTCCTATAACTTTTAAAAAACTAATTCTTTAGACTTAAAAAGGGTAGCAAATGTCTCTTGAAGCAAAGACACAGTAGCCACAACAAAAATGCACTGCTGATTCATCATCACAGGCACAGAAGCAGAACAGGGCATCTCTGCTCCCATATCTCAACAGATGGAAGCATTTAAGATGAACAGTACTGATATGAGAATAGTACAAAAGAACTATTTCCCTCCTAAAAAAAATAAGAGGTGTAATTTTCCTTTAAAAAAAAGTTAAGCATCTAGGAATGCCTGTATTTCAAAGGCAAGGAGTAATGATGAGAATTAAAGCAGTACAAACTCACGACAGAACTAAGACCACTCTTGCACCCTCTACCTTGCCTGCATTGTTGCATGAGAATGGCTTAAACAGCTCTAGGGATCTATCTGTAAGCCAACTAAGGTCAATTTTCTGAACTCAAGAAGTAGAAACTTACCTGGGAGGACTAAGACAATTCAGCTCTTGCATGGTTAGGGTTACTATAAAATTGGATGCACACACAAATATGTCACAGTTGTTTCCTGATAAACATGCTGAAATAATCTGTACTATTTCACATTCTAATACGTTTGATTATTTTTCCTACTGTAATGCAAAATGTTTATGTTGCTATTTGCACAAAAAAAAAGGTAAATAAAGTTTGGCACCCACGTACATAAATGGCTGATCCAGATTCTTCAGACACCTCCAGGTGGCAACCATGTCTACCATCCTCTCGTGCTGTAGGCGATTTTGCCAACTTAAATCCTGCAACTACAACGGTGTCCTATGGGGACAGGGTGATAAAACAGATGATTACATAGGCTGTATCACGTACTCTATTTTAAGAGTATGTGATATGAAATTTTACCCTAAAATCTCAAGACATTCAAGAAACAAAAATGCTGAACAAATTTTAAACACTGCCTTGAAGTTTTTTTATTTAGTTCTTCTACCAGCAGAATTCATCTTTCCAGACAATGCCAGAAAATAGGTTGTTTTATTTTTTTTCAAATTCTCCTAAAATGTTCACACTCTTGATGTTACTGCAACTGAGTGCTAATTTTGACAAGGGCTAGATGGGAAGAGTCATGGCAAATAAAGCAAAAGAATCATTCCCCTTCATATATATTCCTAAGCTAGAGAAGGAATCACACATTGGATCAGCAGTGACAAACATTCTTTTCTCAGAGCTTATTTCCTGAGCCATAGCTGCACTTTGAAGAGACTCTCCTTGTAGTTATTTTCTGGTTTGGCTGGATCACCATCTTCCAATTTCTTCCTTAAGGGCCAAGCAGGTCAATCAATAGGTAGGTTTCTGCTAGCAAACAAGACATTTCTGGCATCACTCCTAAGATTCCAGGGCAAGAAGCAACTGCATATACAACTACACTTTCACTTTGGTATGAAGTTCCTCAGATACTAAGAAGTGAACAAGAAAATAATGATTTAAGGACTAAATCATTCAATGCCTCCAGCAGCTCACTTCCTAGTAGCAACCAATTTAAAAAAAAAAGGGGGGGGGGGAAAGAAGATAGAAAATATATTCAGAAGACAGAGATGGTAAGAAAGGTATGTGATCAAAGTGCTGGGAACTCAGATGCAATGTAAAGCTCCTTTATAGTCAGCTCATTTGGTACCAGAACAGAACAGCAGGGCTGTACCAGTATGACACATTCCAGTAAGCATATTAGACTTGGTACCCTATTTCTAGATTATTTCTACCAAAAGCTCTTCCATAAGCTTTTACTGAATGACTCTGTTCACATGTTCATTTGCTTACAAAGAGTATTCTGATTAAAGTTGACAGTTTTGGCCAAATATTATGCTATGATGGCTCCTTCTTGCTATTTCAGCAATCTGACAATGCTACCTTAAATGATTCAAAATCAAACCTTAATGTTTTGTACAGGAAAAAGAAAGGCTGTTAGCTTAAGTGACAGTGATGGATTTAGCTTTTAAAGGAATTTTGAAAAGAAATTTAATCAGGCAGTTTAATACATAATGAAACTGCTTTGGGCATGGTGATTTTCAGGTAGTGTCATAAATAGGAATACAATATGTATTTTGATTAAAATATGTTAGTCAGATAAGTGTAAGCCATACTCAGAGCTAGTAAGTTAAAATAGGACAAAACAATTACATAACTCAGTATTCCTTACACCTGGAATACACTGCCTGCTAACATACATCTCATTCTTTCCAGACAAAACCACACTCAAACACAGGCTTCAGGAAACTCAGATATTTTGCAGAAACCAGGTGTTAGCATGTATCTTTGCTTTCACTGTACTGATGCTACTCATGTTCCTTCAACAGTGGAATCAACCTTCAGCTAAAAAGCTATGCCCTGCTATATATTATTCCCATTTCAGCATTTGATTAGATTGCAGGCTGCACAAGATGCTGGGACTTCGTAGCTGAGTCAGGATTGGAGCTCTGTACGGATGACTTGTCTTGTTCTGTGTCAGAGGAACTTTAGAATTACACAGACTCAAGCCTTCACACAATTAATGGAAATGGTTTTTGTTAATAGTATTAGATCACCGGTGATTAACACAACATTCAAAAAACACCTGTGAAAGGATTGTGCAATTTCAATGAGGAAAAATCCACTAACTTCAAAGTCTAGTTTTACACGTACAAAGAACAGGTATATTCTCAGATCTGTTGCAAATTCAGTCAGCTTTGGCAGACTGTAACTTGCAGTTGCTAAACATGCAAAAAAAAAAAAAAATCACATAATTTGCACAGCACTTTGAGATTTTATGTTTATTAATTTTCTAAGTAGTTTCCACCACCTTTGGCTAACATGTTCTCTTGTAATCGGTTTAGGATCAAAACTATTTACATAAATTGGTGAATTTTCCTGTCAAAGGAAGATTACTACATTGGATACATATAAGCGCTAGGATTTGACCAACATTTTTAAACAGTAAGAAGAAATCCCACTCTCCTCATTCAAAAGAAGTGAGAAATAAAGGAAAGACAGTATTTTCCCTGATGATTATTCTGTTATAGAACCAGAAGACTCCCAGGAAAAGGAACAACATGGCTATTCATGTTTTTGGGATGACTTATCTGTCATCCATATTCACGATCCTTTACTTGCTAGGTAAATAGCACTGACAAAAAGAATTGTTTTATTTCAACATTAATGTTAGAAGTAATTTACATAAGCAAATACTTTGGGGTTTTTCCTCTAGTTCATATTTATATATTTGAACTGATGTATACAAAAACAAGAAGTCAACATACATCTGTGGAAAAAAAAACCAAAAATAAGAAAAAAAATACATATTTTACCCCATGGAGTACAACTTGTGCACAATCCTCTGCCATTTTTCCATATATTAAAATATTGATGCTGTTGATCCGTGAACATGAGTTATCCGTATCTACAGAAAAGAAAAAAATCCAAAAGTGATTCCCATCACAGTACCTTCTCCAAAACAAAACGAAACAGTAATGGGAAGTGATTTACAAAAGAAAAAAAAACAAACCTGCAGTCCAGCACTTTTCATTCAAATTAATATACAAACAAAAAATCATTTCAAATAGCTATACAACTTCTCTTATGTGCTAACTAGAGGTATATCAAGCAGAACATTCCTCATAGGGATGCTGGGGATGGACTATTCATTAGGGACTGCAGTGACAGGACAAGGCGTAATGGGTTAAAACATAAATAAGGGGAAGTTTAGATTGGATATAAGGAGGAAATACTTTCCTGTTAGGGTGGTGAGGCATTGGAATGGGTTGCCCAGGGAGGCTGTGAATGCTCCATCCCCGGCGGTGTTCAAGGCCAGGTTGGATGAAGCCTTGGTTGTCATGGTTTAGTGTGAGGTGTCCCTGCCTATGGCAGGGGGGTTGGAACTAGATGATCTTAAGGTCCTTTCCAGCTCTAACTATTCTATGATTCTAAGAGGACCATTTAAAAGGTGAAAAAATTCTACACCAGTGTACATTAAGGAGAAATTACAAAGATTTTCACTTTGACACAGATCATACTGTAGAACTATATAAACTGGAGATACTCCAGGATATAAACATATCAATTAACAGCCTTACAGCAAGACTGACACAGAAAATATATTGCTAAAAGAGTTTTCTACCTTTTACTGTTTCAGAAATAATACAAATGATTTAGACAATTAAAAATTTTTTGGGCTGTGGAAAACATGCAGAAGCTCTTGGCCTTTCCAAACAGCAAGACTCATGGAAGTTCTAGGTCCCTCTCTGGGAATCCTGAAACCATCCAGGAAACTGACTCTGGTCTCATCAGCATCATTTGCCTCCACTAACACCAGTCATAACTTGTATCACCAGGTCGGATCTGCACCCCCAGCCTGCTATTCAGTCACAGCCACAGAATGTGTAGAATCAGAAAGGCTCAGAGAGAGCAAGTGATGATTCCCTAACCAGTGTAAAGAAGGAGTTGAGAAGGAAACGGAAAGAACTGGAAAGTCCCTTGAATCCAACACAGACTGCTGACTAATTACATCATCCTCCTTCCTGGCTGGTGGTGGTGATGAGCTTTGGACTTAAGAGTTGTATTATTTTTTAGTATCATCGATTACATGATGAACAACTTAAATCTTCCGATGTGGTAATATGTCTACTAATATTTAATACCTGAGTAATCAGGTGAAATTCCATTTTTTACTGCTTAGATTAAAACAGAATGAAACACAAGTATCAACTTGCTGACCTATATTAAATGTGCACTTACATAGTATATACTGTGTATATGCTGTAAGTATAGATGTTATATGGTAACTATTAAGTGCGCATTTTTCTTAGTCCTTCCTTATGATAAGCAGTTTAAAATACACTATTAAATCTGTACATACAGCTAATGCACTTTCAGAACAGTACATTAAAATTCTGCAACAAGAAGTCTACTGATATATGAAGACTGTATTGCTTCCATTAACTTATCCAGCATAAATTTAACATCATCTGTTTTCGTAGAGAACAAACATTTTTAGAGAGTATTTTAAATATAACATTTTACTGAATACTAAAAAGCAGGTACTAGTGTTGTAAGAGCATATGTCACAAAAGTGTCAAGAAGTTTAACAAAACAAATTTAAACCATATACTTAAATGCAGTACCTTGAAGAACGACCTTGAAAAAGTCTGTCCCATCTTTGAGTTTTGTTACCGGGTAGGAAAGAATAACTGTTCCCTAAAAAGTTAAAAATAAAGTAAAATAAAGTGTTACGAACTAAGACTATGTCCCTCTAAGTTACTGAAACACTTATAACAGCTGAAATACCTGTAAGCTAAAAAGGTGGAATTGAAATAAGTGAAAGTTACCATCTGAACTCCTAAAAAAAAAAATAAAAAAATTCAAAAACCCAAAAAAAAACCCCACCTAAAACCTGCTAAAGGCAGCACTGAAGAGCAATATTCTTGGTATTTAACAAAGGAAATATTACATGTCTGTATTACTTAGGTGTTGCTGATTAGATGATAAGCTTAGACTAAGCAATGAAACAGTAGCTATGGAAGCACCTTTTACCGGTTACAATAATAGCACAAAGGATACAGTTTAGCACTAAACCTGAAAGGTAGCAAGTACAGCCATTTCTCAAAAAATATTGGCAAAGGACTACAACATAAATATGAAAACGAAACCACAGTCAAGGTAGAAAAGATGCATATGAAGATAAATAACCTGTGAAAATAAAAACCTGTACAGCTGAGGCAACAGTAATGTAATGTTCTGAAGCTGTAGTGACCTACATAATTTGTCAGTAATACAAATGCTCTGAAAGACACAAAGGTTCTATTAATTATGTAAAAACACTCTCTTTATAATGAAGTTGAAGTTACAATGAAGCAAAAATCATGGATCAGTGCCTTCAGCGATATTAACACCTCTTTGGAACAAGTACATTTTGTTAGAAATCAAAAGAGCTTCTCCTTCAACAGCAGCAAAATGTCAGACAAATGTGCTCCTCCACAGTATGACACGTAAAACGCTGTATCCCATTCAAGAATAAAAACACAGAAATTGGTTCAATAAGGAAAAAAAAAGAGAAAAAAAACCCACAACACATTCTGTATTTAAGAGAACTACATAAACAGCACCAGAAATAAAAGGTTTCTGATATAGAGACTGCAGCAGCAATCTGTATAAATGCACAAAAGCAACATTAAGAGGATAGTCAGGTAAATCATAATTTTAAAGTACATATATTCAGTAGGAAGTCTGACCTAAATGTTAGTAACAACTTCTTAAACTAAATATGAAGCAGTGAATTGTTACTGTAGGGGCTTTTCAGAGTAAAATTAGTCCTACAACATGTTGACTAGGAGGAATCCAAATCAAATCCAACATTTAATTTACTGTTTTATAAAGAAAGAGTAAGACTCCACAGAATACCCTTTTCCAACCCAAAGTGTATTTAAATTTTACTACACTAAAAAAACAGCCATGTTTACTTAGATTTAGCATGTACCATATTGTTTCATTTCTTTTGATGCAGTAGTAATGCTTCATTTAAAAGCAAAATGAAGGTCAAAAATCTATGACATGTTTTTAACAGGGAAGCTCCTACTTTTCACAGAGAAGTCTAATGAGATTTGTAAGAAAATTTACGTATCAAATACTTATTTTAACAATCAGCATCCGCAAAACACTGTTCTGAGATTTGTCTATGAATACTTACAGAAAGGTTTGCCACATGTTTACAAAATTCAACTTTTTTAAAAAAGTCAGGTATTATATGTAATTGTTCTTGCTGAGATTGTTTGTCTTAAACTGTTCTCACAGGTTAATAAACTACAGACTTTTTCTTGTAATAAAGTCTTTGCAGTGAAACAAAATCACCTAAGGAACACTGTATTTACCTATTTTGGTGTTTTTTTTTATTTAAGAAATGTCAGTCAGCACATATATAGACAGTTTTCTGACCATTTTTTACTTTGTATTTTTTTCTTTTACATTCTGGCATCTTCCAATGAGTTTCCAAATTCTGGGACCATGTTCTTCATTGAAATCGTTTGGCCCCACCACTTTCCTTTGTATCCCAAACACCTATGCTCTAGTTCTCTTCCTCAGCAGAAATACCACTCGCCTCTTCCTCAACATGCTTGCAGCTCGTGGCTCCAAGCTTCAACAAATTCTACCTTATTTACCACAACCTGCTCAAATTCACTCTTCCCCCACAAATCCTGCACTGTTTATTAAGCCCATCAACAAACTTCTACCAAAGCCCTCCCCATTCCATATGCCACTAATTTAAACTGACAACATGCATTTCCTCTAGCAAATCCATTTCCTTTGCAGTGGCCTCCTTCCTCAGTCAACTTCAACAGCTGATTTGACAACTGATTTTCAGGTTTGGGTTAGCTTTGCCACAGGAAAATCCACAGGACAATGAATTAACCGAAAAGGCATCAGTTTCAATTAATGAACACCATGACTGAGGATGTATGACACTGTTTGTGCTGTACTCCTATAAATTTAAGTTAAAATTTGTATTATTCAGAGGGATGTCAGAAAGGCAAAGAAGTTTCAGAAGAATGAAAGGACTTGAGGCACACAAGCCAGACAGGAGCATCGTGGATGATCTTTGCTGCTTTTTTTCCAGAACACACTTCATAAAAAACATGCTCTTCCCTTCCTCAAAGCAGGACCTGATCCCTATTTTGGCAGGTCTAGACTGACAGTGTGCTGTGCCACAGCTAAGATAAATTAGTATCAGTGCATTCTAAGGTTCACTAAGTTCTCCAGCCTGCAGAACTGGATTTTCCTACATATTTAATGGTGCATTAGCACCAGCTTTATTAGCTCTCCAGTTGCACTGGGTTTATGCCAAGCTCTTTTAGCCACCTACTAATACACATCAGCAGCAGCATGAAGTTCTCTTAACATAGGACAGAAGTCAAGAGAAAGAGACTTTCAGCAATCAACTGTAACACTGCATGTATGTTCTAATAATGGTAGTAATTGTTCTGCTTTCCTAGTGGAAACATTTATTTTGGGAGAAAGATTTTCTAATTTATAATCCATTTCTGTCTGGTTCAACATTTCCTTTGTGAACAAGAATCCCTGCTCTTCCATGTGAAGGGTGCTTGCAGACATAGCTGTTAAAAGCAGGAAAGCCTATACACTCTGCAAGTGAGTGGGGACAGAAAACTACACTCTGAGGAATAAAACCCCATTTACCAGAAGCACTAGTTATTGATATTTCCATTTGTTCCTTTGCAAGACCTAAGGGAGGCTGAATCATTCTTGGTCAAATCACTTCCTATCATACTCTACTGCTGCCTGCTTCCTAAAAGGACAATTTTGCTCCTTTGCTTTACCTAATTGCACTACTCCTGGCATCTAGATGATCTTTTGAGGTCCCTTCCAATCTCTAACATACTGTGATACTGTGATAATGAACCAGTCCAGAGTGAGAGTAGGAGCAAACTACCCCCTCTCTATTAATATGGATAGTCTTCTGCCAGTTTATGAAAGGACTCAATCACAGGGTTAGATAAGAAGCAGAGCCGGAAGTGGGAATACACAGCTGGGGAAGTAAACATGGTTTTTGGTTACAGAAAATCATTAAGCCAGTTCAGCTCATTTTTAAAGGCTCTGTGCCAACTTTTAAACATTCAAGCCACCTAAGGTTTTCTACAAAATTTCTTCTTCTTCCTTCAGCTTTTTTTTTTTTTTTCTTTTTGTAACAGACTGAAGGTAGGCACAGGACGATGCTGACTTCTTGCCACTTACCTGTCAGGAATTACAAGGATTTTCAGAACGATTCATGAAGAGTTAAACAGGTTAAAAAAGAAAACCCTCAAGAACTAATACTCCGTTTTACACAACATATATAACGATGCGAAAACAAATAAATCTATTTCATTATTACACTAGGATTGAAATTCCAATCTGTAATATATTTGGACCTACTATAAAATATAAATACACACTTGCTAATGCTAATAAAGCATAATTCTATCTAGATGCAGATAGTTGCTAGAGTCCTCCTTCCACAAAACTATATATTGAATTGCTTCATACAAGAAAGGAAAACTGCTTCAGAAGTCATTACTCTGAAATCTGATCTTTAAAAGAACAATGATGCTTGTTGCCTTTTTTTTTTTTTTTCCAAACAAAGTACCACTTAACCTTCCCAAATGCCTTCATTTTCAGCACAGTTTTCTGCATAGCAACAGGGTTTTCAATGGGTTAGAAGCTTAGCAACTAGGAAAACCTCTCATAAAATTTAAGTCTGACCATGTAAAAGGAAGAGGTGGAACAGTAAATCAGTGAAGTTAATAAAAATATGCAACAAAGTTCAACAGGGTCATAATTCTGCATAACTTAGAGATATGCAACAGATGCACACAGAGACACAGCTGCAGCAAGTCACCAAATGAGCTGAAATACGGAGTCCCCTCATAAATACACCAGTAGCTATTCCAAAGTAAGCCAAAATTCTTTTTATTAGTATGTTACCTGGAAATATTTGTTGGTATGATCAAAGCCTTCTCGCAAATGTTTCAAATCCTCCTTCTGCAAATGGCTTGGTAGCGGAGGCTTAGATTTTCCTTTGACGATCTTCATCAACTGAACAGGCATAGCTGCTTTATCTAAACAAAAATAACAAACAGATTCCTGAAGCTACTCATATTGTTCAAATTAAGAGTTACTGGAAGTTGCAATTTACTCAGAAGTGGAGTATTTATCTATTTTGTAATAAGAAAGTTTAGCTATATATGACAAAATCTTCAGAGGGATTGGCCTCATCCCTTAGTACCATGAATAGCAGGAAGAAAGTAACATTTCCTTAGCAACAGACAGCCATCCAAATTACTTTATTTTGCAAGCATTCCATAACACTGCAAATGGCAAGAAAGTGCTACTTTATATGTGAATTCTACAGGTAATACAAATAATGTGAACATTTTATATACAGAAAGGCACATTAAAACCCAAGCACTTTGAATGACTCCTTCCCCAGCATAAGTCATGGATACAGTCTCTATATTCAGCTGTTTCCCCAAAAGCCAATTTGACTGCTTTGAACCTAAGACAACATACAATTTGTTTCTTACAATTTTTATCCAACCCAGTATACATAAAAATTAGGAGGCCTTACAACATTCAGAAGACACAAGAGGCTCCAGGAATCACTATTACTGCACAGATTTTGAGCAACAGACAGATCTTACCAAGTATTGTTAAGAGCTTGACTACTAAGAAGACATGATTCAAAAAGTTTATTAGCTGGGTTACACACAGAAAGAATTCATATAGGTTAACTGGACAAGAATTAGCTACAGTTACAAACCTCCACCTCAGTAACCATCTGTGTACCACATTAGTCTGTCCCAAATGCAGAGGCTTACACCTAAATTGAACAACAAATTTAAGCCTAATTACTTAAGCTTTTGAGAGAATTTTACTTTTCTGAAAGGAAACCAAGAACAAAGAAACAAGAACAACTATCTGGAATGGGCAGCAGGGCAGGGAACTTTAACACATCACAAAACAGAAACACATCTCTCACAAGCAGACCAATACCCTGATGGTCTCTAACCAATGGCTCCCTTGGAAGACCCAATGAAAAAGCCTCGTTTTTACTGTTGCATGTTTTTATTGAGCATGACTCAATGGTATGGAATGTCCTTACGGCCAGTTCATGTCAGCTGTCCCAGCTGCGTCACCTCCAAACTTCTCTTAAGCCAACTTGCTGAGAGGGAGAAAGCCTTGGTGCTGCCCAAGCACTGGTCAGCCACAGCTGAAATACACATGCATCATCAAACCTGGTGTCGTGGTTTAACCTCACCCAGACAGCTTGTTACCCACTCCCCCCCTTTCTTGCCCTCCCCCTACTCCTGGAGGGACGGAGAGGAGTATCAGCAAGAATGCAACTCCCACGGGTTGAGATAAGAACAGTTTAGTAACTAAGGTATAACACAAATCAGTACTGCTACCACCAATAATAGTAATGATAAAGGAAATAACAAGGGAAAAGAATACAACACCCCATCACCAGGCGACCAATAACTTGCCCCCCAGCCCGACCAAGCACCGACCGATACCTCCTCCAATCCTGCAGTCCACCCAGCCCTTCCGGCTAACTCCCAGTTACCTCCTGGGCATGACGTGCTGTGGTATGGAATACCTCTTTGGTCAGTTTGGGTCAGGTGTCCTGTCTCTGCTTCCTCCCGGCTCCCCTCCTCCCTGGCAGAGCATGAGGCCCACAAAGTCCTTGGCCAAACCAAAACATCATTGTTTTTCAGCTCTGTTCCCAGCTGAAAGTCAAAACACAGCACTGCACCAGCTACCAAGAAAGAGAAAAATGACTGCCACTGCTAAACCCAGGACATTATCCACCCCTTATTCCATACCATTCACGTCATGCTCAGATCCCACATTTTCAATATACCATCACTCTGATCTAATTGCACTCTCATCGTAGTGCATGGACCAGTCCCTATAAAGCTGCTGAGTCCATCTGGTCCATGACGTCAGGCTCCATCTCTTGTAACAGTCTTTCAGAGCACGAGAGGCTATGTGCAGTGCTCACATACATGAATAACATGGGCAATAGGGTCCATTGCTAAGTCCACCCCTCGATCATGAGTCCATCTCGATGTTGCATCTCTGCTCTGTTGGCCTTAAAGGTCATGGGCCCACCAGGCTCAAAATAATTCACTGTCCTTCCACCTCCAATGCTTCCAAAGCACTGGAGGGACCCAGTGGACTAGATACTTGCCCATACTGTCCCACATGCCCTGCCACTCATGGCTGTCCAGCCTTGGGGAAAACCTCTTGGTCCTCCCATATTGTTGTCTAATCCCAGACAAGACCCAAACCTGACTCTGCTTAACTTTTGGGATCAGACAAAATGGTGGTGGGTAAAACATACTCTGTGTTTGTGCCAACATGCTGACCCCCATCACAATCAGCAGGCAGGTCCCAAGGATACCCAAAGGCCATTCAAAACCTTCAGGACTCTCAAACGATGCTGCTGTACTTGTCATTGGGGCTGGTGTAGCTGCTGTGCTTGCCGGCGCTCCCACCACCAGCTTCTCTTTTTCTGAGTCCTGCTCTTCCTCCTCTGCCTTGCTGGGAAATGCTGCGGGGTCTCCTGCATCCTCCTGGGGCTCGGCGGGCGGCTTCCGGGGAATGCTCTCGGCTGTCGCGGGGCTGGGCTTGGCCGCGGGGCTCGGCTCCTCCGCGGGGCTCGGCTCCTCCGCCTCCTTCTCCAGCTGCTCGGCAGCCGCCCCCTCCCGCTCCTCGACCGCCCCGACCTCCTCCACCGGCAGCCGCTCCCTGCCGGCCTCCGGTCCCGCTCCCGCTTGGTCCCCGGGGCCGCTATCCCAGGCCGCCTCAGCAGTCGCCGGCTCCCGGGGCCTCTCCCCCTCGGCTTCCCAGAGCCTCACGCAGACGGAGGCGAGGGCGAGGGCCAGGACTGTGAGCAGTAGCCGGACGGCCAGGGACCAGTCCACGGCCACGTCCGTCCCGCCCTGCTGCTGGAGCTCGCCCGTATTACAAGTTATTGCCATAAAGTACAGTGAGACAAGAACCTTAGCCCAAGCCCCACACTTGATAAACACTAACACAGCAAATACCGGCTCTAAGTAAGTTACAACATTCTGAAGCTGTGAGATCAAGAGGAACAACTCTGAGAGCCAATAAATCAGCATTGTGACGGTCAGATCTGTCATTATCTCAACCCCTCGTGCCCCACGTTGGGCGCCAAAAAGAACTGTCGTGGTTTAACCTCACCCAGACAGCTTGTTACCCACTCCCCCCCTTTCTTGCCCTCCCCCTACTCCTGGAGGGACGGAGAGGAGTATCAGAAAGAATGCAACTCCCACGGGTTGAGATAAGAACAGTTTAGTAACTAAGGTATAACACAAATCACTACTGCTACCACCAATAATAGTAATGATAAAGGAAATAACAAGGGAAAAGAATACAACACCCCATCACCAGGCGACCAATAACTTGCCCCCCAGCCCGACCAAGCACCGACCGATACCTCCTCCAATCCTGCAGTCCACCCAGCCCTTCCGGCTAACTCCCAGTTACCTCCTGGGCATGACGTGCTGTGGTATGGAATACCTCTTTGGTCAGTTTGGGTCAGGTGTCCTGTCTCTGCTTCCTCCCGGCCTCCCCTCCTCCCTGGCAGAGCATGAGGCTCACAAAGTCCTTGGCCAAACCAAAACATCATTGTTTTTCAGCTCTGTTCCCAGCTGAAAGTCAAAACACAGCACTGCACCAGCTACCAAGAAAGAGAAAAATGACTGCCACTGCTAAACCCAGGACACCTGGTTTAGTCACAAATCCAAAACACAGCACTATGCATGCTGCTATAAAGACAGCTTTACCCCAGACTGACCCAGTATATCTCTAAAACATATCCAACTAGGATGCAGTGACACCCCATGGAAAGGACCCACACTTGGAGCAGTTTGTGAAGAACTGCAGCCTGTGGGAAGAATCCACATCAGAAAAGTTCGTGGAGGACAGTCAGTCGTGGGTGGGACCAAATGCTGGAGCAGGGAGAGCATGAGGAGGAAGGAGTGAAGCTAAGCTCAAGAAGATGGGAGAGGTGGGGGGAAGGTGACTTGAGATTCGTTCTTATTTGTCATTCCTACTGTGATTTGATCAGCACCAAATCAATCTAATTTCCCCAAGTTCAAGTATTTTGCCTACGATGATAAGTGGTGAACGATCTCTCTAGCCCTATCTGACCAACGAACTTTTCTTCCCCTGTAGTGCTGAGGGAGTCACAGAGTAGCTCTGATGGGCACCTGGGATCAGGCAGGGTCAGCCCACCACAATGCAGAGCTGGAAGGTACAACACCAGGCAGGTTTTAGTTTCCACTTGAGCTGAAGAAAAGGTAAAAGCCTGATGTAAAGGTGCAGACACTGTTCCGTCTCTGCTGACTGCTTTAACTGGTGAAGTATTAGGAGCTAGAATTTCTATAAAATATCACTAACTGATGCCAAAATGATGTCTTGATCTCCACATTTTCAAATACGAACGGGGATAGCCTTGTCATTAGCGTACTAGGATTTCAAAGCCTCCAGTGTAAAGAACAACTAGAAGTCTCACAAAGCTTATCAGTTTAAGGATTCTACTATATTCTATATATATTTTTATATATTATTCTATATATAAAGACTCATTATATTCTAGCAGGCTAAGAAGCTGATCTTTTCCACCCAGAATCAGTCAACTTCGAAGTTAATCAGTAATGCTGACCTTCGTCCAGCAACAGTATAATGAGCTACGGAGATACACAACACAGCAGATTAACACTTTTATGTATTCCTCTCTGTTACAGTACTTGAGCAATCACTTTCTTGTTTGGTTGGGGGGTTTTCCCACAAAGATGTCTAACAGCAAGATGCATTCTGTTACAATGCAAACATAATACTTAAAACAAAGCAAAGACAGGCATTGAAGTTTTAAAACTCTGATGACTGCCCTCATATTCTGCAGCTCCTTTGCTTTCACTTAAAAAGAGCCTTTGCCATTTATTTCAATGGAACAAATATTCCACACGTGCTTTCAGGTTTACCAAGGAAAGTTTCTAAAAAGGAGCCATATGTAGGCTGATGCAGTGGGACCTGCCCATATTCTTTACTTACTATATATTCCTACGATTTAAGACATTTATGTAAATATCATTCAAGTAGAAAACAATATATTTTTTTTTTTTTTAGATCTTCAGCTTCTGTACACATAAAACTAAGGTCAAGTATTTTAATTGCTAAGCACTGGAACTCCCACATTCTTGTTCCCTGCAACTGAAAAACAAAAATCTGAGTATCTAGCTCTTAAGAGCCATAAAGGTAAGTTTTCAAAAACTAAATTTATACAGCACTGGCTTCCCAAACCTAAAGGAAAATATGTTTAGTGTAGTGCTTGGTGCTCACAGCTCTCCTGAATAGCATCTAAATGAAAGTAAGCATGACGAGTATCTTTGTTGTCCTCAAAAGGCTAACTTTGTAACACAAGAATCATTCCCACTTCAGTCTTTGAGTTTGCTGTTCAAAAAGCCTGTGCCATAAACAGAGCTATTCATAGAATCACAGAATGGCTAAGAAAGGACCTTAAAATCATCTAGCTTCAATCCCCCTTGCCATGGGCAAGGACACCTCACATTAGACCACGTTGCCCAAGGCTCTGTCGAACCTAGCCTTGAACACTGCCAGGGATGGAGCATTTACCACTTCTCTGGGCAACCTGTTCCAGTGCGTCACCACCCTCACAGTAAATATCTTCTTTCTTATATCTAACTTGAACTTCCCCTGTGTAAGTTTAAACTCATTACCCCTTGTCCTATCACTACAGTCCCCAGTGAAGAGTCCCTCTCTGGTATTCTTGTAAGCCCCTTTCAGATACTGGAAGCCTGCATGGAGACCTTCTCTCCTCCAGGCTGAAGAGCCCCAACGTTCTCAGCCTATCTTCATACAGGAGGTGCTCCAGCCCCCTGATCATCCTCGTGGCCCTTCTCTGGACTTGTTCCAACAGTTACATGTCTTTCTTATGTTGAGGACACCAGAACTGTACACAATACTCCAAGTGAGGTCTCACAAGAGCACAGTAGGCAGCAGGATCACCTCCTTTGACCTACTGGTTATGCTCCTTTTGATGCAGCCCAGGATACGGTTGGCTTTCTGGGCTGCAAGTGCACACTGAAGCTGGCTCATGCTCAGGTTTTCATCAACTAACACCCCCAAGTCCTTCTCCACAGGGCTGCTCTGAATCTGTTCTCCACCCAACATGTAGCTGTGCCTGGGATTGCCCCTACTGAGATGTAGGACCTTGCACTTGGCTTTGTTGAACTCCATGAAGTTTGCATTGGCCCATCGGTTTAACAGAATAAAAAAAAAAAAAAAATTAATTAATTAATTAATTAAATAAACAAAGGCCTGGAATTAAGATAGACAGTATTGCGGGACCCTCCTGGAACAGGAGGGACACACAACACACACAGTAAAGGGAAAAAGGCAGTGCAGCACCCTAAAGAGAGAACTATGCCACCTACTTAAATCATTTGAGGATGGCTATGGGTTGAAATTTTTTATGTGCTGCTGTGTCCTACCCTTGATTTTCTACCTAATTTCCTAGACCTTAAGTTTCTGAGAGCAGAACAATCAACTTGTTCTGTCTTAATTGCCAACAGAACATTAATATGTTTTCCAACCCATCGTAAACACCAATACACCAGAAAACAATTGCCTAGTAGAAAACACTCTGAGCAAGGGTTAACCTTCAACAGAAATAAGTAATCATTTTATTTATTTATTTTTATTCTGGAATGAGGACATCATTCCATCGGAATACTGCAGTCACAGAATGCCTCTATCTCTATGTCCAGAAGCAAGACAAAAAATTGCTGTATCTGAAGCACTTTATTCTTCTCACTTGCAGCTCAAGAGTCTAAACATCCTCAGACCTGAACTAGCCAGCTAGGTATGCTCTAGGGTATGTGCACAGAAACAAGAAAGCTTTCAGTTTCACAGTCTTATGAGTTCACACAGAAAGCAGAATAATTACCGTTTCCTCTTAGGTACAGCACAACCCAGATACAAGCTCTGAGAGCCTGGTAACTTCAATGTTAAAGACAAAGCATACACCCAGAGGCTTATGCACATGCAGAATCAGACAGTGGCTCTACTAGAGGTTTAAAGACGGTAATTTTAGAGCCTTGCACTGCAAAAAAAACATACCTGTTCATTTAAGTCTTCTGATAGCCTCGTATCTTTTTTTCTCTAGGCTTTTTAAGCTTTTATCATAATAATAATTTTAAAAAAATCATTATCATCTTAAATTGTTTGAAAACCACCAGAATTTAAACTCTCAGGTAAGCTGCATCACTCTTCACTGCGTTTTGAAAATCATTAAGAAACAACAAGGTGCAGTTGCAAGTGAAATTATCACCACAGATCCACAAACAATACAGAACTGCTGACATGAACAGCAGCACAACATGACCAAAAGACAGGAACAAAGGAAAACAGGCCACATATGAAAGGCAAATTTGTCCTTATCATCAAGATAATGCACCGCTGTTTCTCCCCTTCATCCTGCTTCTCTCCTTCATCCTGCTTCTCCAAGCAACATGAAATAGCCAAACTTTGTATGGCAATAAGCATAGTAAAGCAGTATGAAGATTTTAAAATATTTCAGTATAAAAAGCTGTAGGTAGCAAGCTCAGTATATAAAAATGTTCCTATATACTGTCAAAGTTAAACTAAAGGTACTAACATGCCTTATAATAACCTAAAGCCCCAGGGAACATTCTAGCAGTGGAAAACATCTTATTAGCCATGACAGACAGACCAAGTAAAGCTCCTGTTAGGCCCAGGAATCACTCCACCTACGGTTTGAATATACGAGTTAGAGAATTCTTTTGAGCAAGAATCACTAGCATTCCGTGAATATCTACTCACTGTTCACATATGACATCAGAAGAAAACTCATTTTGCTCATAATGGAATGATGTTCCATAGACCTCTCATATATGAGGACAGATGTGGAACAAGCAATATAACGAAAATAGGGTGACAGTCAGAGTTAATACCTCGGGTTTTTTTTTCCTCACACATCAAAATAAATAAGCATTTTGTGAACAAGAAAAAGAGATCACAAAGCAAGACTTTCCCCCATTGTCTTTATTTGCTGAATTAGTCCACCATATTTGTCTTCCATGTCTAGTTCTCTAAAACATTACAAATCTGCTATTTCCTTCAGTAAAAAAATATCAACACATATTTAAAAGAATAAAAAAATAAATAAAATTAAACTCAGCCTGTAACAGCACCCTAATTTATAAGATGCAAGACAAGCTTTACCATGTTTAGTTCACACTGCCAAAAAACTAAAAATATACATATAATAGACAATAGAAGCCCACTGTAAAAACTTCAAAGCCTTAATCCTGAAAAAAAGAAGACTGAAAAATAAGCATATTAATATTCTCCATCTGGGCTTCAGAATTAACTTCATGGAGGAGGTAGTGAAAGTTAGATCTGTTCTTCTGTTATGGTTTATCATCACAGTGCAGCCATCCAGTGCACAGGATAGGAAGTAATTAACACCTTGCCTGGATTATTCAGATGCAGCCAACATTTGAGCCTTCACTTAAGACAAAGATACTCACTACTGGGTCCTGACTGACCTTACTATGACAAATGGGCTATTCTGCTGTTGTCTCCTCTAGAATGCAACTTTTCTTCAAGAATTAATGAGAGGTTAGCTTTGGGGCAGAACAATAAAGAAAACACAAAAAGTGAGAGGTAAGTTGGAAAGATTACTCCCTCTCTACAACCAATAATACTTCAGTGGAACATGAAAATGACATACAAGGAATTAATGTCATCTGGGGAGAAGAAAGGTGCAGCAGTCAGAAGCATGAGGAGATTCCTCATCTATCCAAGCACATGTTACTTACAAACAGACATACAAACTCATTCTACAAATCAGAGAATAAAACACGATTGGCTGGACCTCAAGAGGAAACCTCACCACAGTTTCAGGAAGAATGAAGGAATAGCCAAGAGCATCAGCATCTTATTGATGTAGTCAGTCAAAATGGCAGATATCAGAAGGCCCTGCAAACAGAAACACGAGTCAGTGCAATATTTGGTATAAATATGTAAAAATTAAAACATACAAAATAGACAATACCTCATTTAAAATATGCATACGTATGTATACACTGCCATACACTCTTGACACAGTTTATGTGAAATTTTCATATAAAAATTAACACTTATACCATTGAACAAAACAGTACAGAACTAGCACAAACTCAACCTGCTATCAGTCACAACAGAAATCTTTCATTATATAGCAGTATTAAAGAAATCAAGAGCACCATTCACAAAGAACAAAGTTTGGAAGAGTCTAGAATTTTTCTAATAGCCTAGAATTTTGTAACTTGTGATTTCCTTGAGAATTCTCAAGAGAAGAAAACACCATGTCAGCTAACTAAAACAGAAGAAACCAAGTCAGCACTGTGACATGTCTTATTCCCTTAGCTGTAAGGATCTAACTTGCTGTTGCTGCAGATCTTCAGGAACTTACATTCTGGAAACAAGTCTTAGGCTATTACTCTTAACCACAGAGCTGGTACTTACTTTCACTAGAATACAACTAGAATTCCAGCAAAAACAAAACAAAGAAAAAAAAACAACAACCCACAAAACCAAGAAAAAAAAATAACTACCCACAACCCAAACAAAAAAAATCTCCCTTATTTTCGATTAAAATTTACTAGTCTGATATTGTGCAAAAGAGGCCACAACCAAAGGTTACCCAAGGAAAATGGACTATTATACTGCCATTATCTGAACGATGCTTCAGCTATCACTGAAAAACAAACAGACCTCAGGAAGACAGGGATATAAACAGTGCAACTAGAGTCAACCCAGCAATTACAAAAAGCTGAGATCTTTAAAACCAAGAGTTTAGATGCATTAGCACATGCGTATTAACAACAAAAGATTTTTTTTTTTTTTTCAGTACACTCAACACCTATGAAGGCAAGAAAAAAGGAAAAGCTCCTAATCCTAGAAGCACTGCGTTTGTCAAAGCAGGGGCTCAATCCCCGCAGCAGAGGCCGTTTCCAGGACAGCTCAGGGACGGAAGATCGGCGCAAGGCAGCTGCAGGTCTTACGGAGAAAAGGCAAACCTAGCAAGGCGCCAGAGCCGCTTAAGGAAGGGCGCCGGCTCTACCTCTTCCGTGCAGTGGCCAGCGGCCAGGCGGAGGACACGGGGTCTCGGATTTACGATAACCCCCTCTTCCACAGACGGACAGCACGACCGCTCTCTCCCCTCAGCCCTAGGGAATGGGTAGAGCATCCCGCCGCGCCTCACTCCCAGCCGGGCAGCCACAGCACCAAAGATACCTGTCTCAGAGAGAGAAGCGCCCGCCACGACTGTCAACAACCCCACTTCCGCCTGTTCGTGCCGCACAGCGCGACCTGAGCATGCGTACCTCCAGCGCTGGGCGGGATGCCCGCCGTTGGGGGAGCCAGAGGGCGGAGCAGGCATGCGGCCTGCGCGGTTTTGGAGTGCGCTGTTCTCACTGGCTGTGCGGTTAGGGGCAGGGATGGTGGGAGCGGCAGGGAAGGCGGGAGAAACAAAGTATTCCCTTAGCTGGGCCCGCCAGCCTGGCCCCGAGCCCCTCCGTGCGGCCCTGAGCCCCACCAGCAGTCCTGTGGGTGCAGGGGCTGCGCCGCCCCGAGGGCCGCTCGGACAGCCGGCGAGCAAAGGCCCGAGGCTGCTCGGGCGGAGGGTGCCTTGCGCCCGCAGGAGCCGGTCCGTTGTTGCGGAGCCGGTAAAACGTGCGTTCCTCGACGGAATACAGGAGCACTTAAAACTCTCACCTGCCGGAGGTCAAAAAATACGGGGGGGGGGGGGAATGCTCTGCTTCCTGGTTGTGTTTGTTCGTTGTTTAAATGGCAGGAGGCATCAGGTCAGGCTTTGAACAACAGCATTTTTGTCTCTACACGGGGTCCGTCAGGCTTACTGATGCATGTTCTGCGAGCTGACACCATGCCAAGATGCCGTTTGCAATACTTGCCAATTCAAAATTACAGCACACATGGCTCAACATCGCAACAGCAAGGCTCCTTCGTTTAGAGACAGCAGCTTTCTCTCTCCAGCACCTCAAAGAAATGTCTTCTGCCAACCAGCGCTTGCGCTCCCCTTTCTCACCTCTGCAGCTCTGGGTATCTGGGACAGATTTCGTTTTCTTGTTTCTCAACGACTTAAAAAAAGTCCCACTGGAAATAATTTTCTCCTTTCTCTACCTTTAAAACTTTTCCTTTACAATCTTCCCCCTATTTTGCCACTGTTCTAGTTAAGTCTCAAGTGTTTTAGTTGAACTTTGAATTCAAATTCACTTAAAAAGTTGGAACTTAAATTCATCCATGTTCAGGAAGCCTCTGGAGGGGCATGCACTGACATGTTTTGTACTTATTTCCATAGTTGCCAGCCTTTTCTGGAATAGGTTTCTTTTCTTTGATCATCACTGTTTTCAGTAAATCTTGATCCTATGCCTTCCATCGGGTGTTAATGTAGCATGCTTAGTTATAAGCAGAGATTATTGTTAAGACCTTGTTATACACGCATGATAAAAATAACACAGTTGAGCTAAGATGGAGCTGGGAACTTAAGCACACCTGGTTTTCTGGAGGGTTGATGATCTGCCTGTCTGAAGAGCCAACTACAGTAGAGTAGGCTGAGAATATTGATGTCACTCATCCATGTCCTTTGCTTCCATCAAATATTTGGGGAAATCAGCCTTACTTGTAGACTATTAAGTTATGTCAAGTGAGCATTCCTGGTGGGATATTGTCTGTCCTATCTTATGACTTCTGTTTTAAATCTACATTTTGAAAACAACAGTTTTGATCACAGTTAAATATTTACCAGAATATAAGTTGATAAAGCAGCAAAGAATACAGTCAAAAATGAAACATTTTTAGAAACATAAAGTAGAAAAAGAAAGTATAAAATTTAAAAGAGTGCAATGTGAAGGAATTCTGCTTTAGCCCACTGATGTGCTTCTCTTTTCTGATTCTTTTTTCATGCCTGTAAAAGATCTGCTTAGCAATTATAATTATGGTGAAATGAAATCATGGAAAGCTTATGCATTATAGATGAATTAGATTAAAATTGTTCGGAAGTTGCACTCCTGAGTAATTAAAATGCTTACTTGATCTTCTCATCTCAAACCTATATGTATATAATCAAAAGAGAAAAACGAAGGAGAAGAGGCATATAAGCAGAATTTTGACAAAAGAAGATAGATCCCAGTTTTATCTGTCAACAGAATAGTTGTTGGTTCTGTCAGAAATTTAGCCTGAAGTCTTTTTTTTTTTTTTTTTTTTTTAGTTTTTCATACTGGTTGTATGTTTTTTTGGTTGGGTTTTTTTGTTTGTTTTTTTTTTGTTTTTCTTTAATTATAATCATCTTCCTCTTCAGCTATTAGTATTTCTTCAAGAAATTATCCAGTTTCTTTCAGTATAATATTACAGTCTATATGAGAATTTAGATGAAAAATATATTGAATTACATTACATCAGACAGTGATTATTTTATGTTCCGATATGTATATACTGTGTGTTCTCATGCTATTTGCAGTGATCTTTAAATGTGCTGTAATTTATATGTATCTTAGTAAAAAATAATATCTCTGTAGAGGAAAAATGCCAAACAAACCACTCCCCTCAACAGAATTCTGATCTTAACATTGGTTTGCTATGTAACTTTCAATAAGTCATGTTTAAAGCTTTCACTACTAAATGAAAGCTCATAAATAAATAACAACATGATAGCATTATTTCTTGGACTTGTGTTTTGAAATCAGGGGGTTGCAAAGACGGTACACAGGCAACAGTTGCTTGTACTCCTAGCCAGTTAAGGAATCCTCAAAAGCACCAAATGCAACTGAAATTGTGATCTCACATAATAGTGAAAATAATAATAACAACTTTCCATTCACTTCAGCAAGACAAAAACTTTCCCATCAAAAATATATGCATCAGAAGACATTGAATCAAAGCTTTCAGAAAATAGACTTATACATTAAATCAATATGTAGTCACAGAAGCTCCTGAAGACTGTTCTCATAAAGAGGCAGGGAACTAAATAGGGGTTTCAGAAACTAGTGTCAGGCTCATGGTTTTTCTCAAATTTTTGGAGTAACTTGGAAATACTGGGCAAGATTTTCAAATTTTTTTAAATTTTTTTTATTTTTTATTTCTTAAATATGTTGCAGTGGCAGTCAAGTCCACAGCAATGTTGAAAATTCTATCAGTTCAACCTTATTTTCCTCTGACATCTTAGAAGACAATAGCAAGAGAATCATCCTGTAGGAATACAGCCTATCTCCATTAGCAGCTCTACTGTTCCGTGTTCAGCATGAGACATTCAGGCTGCTGAGACAGTGTTAAATGTGAAGTATATACTCTAATTCTAAATAATGTAGCTCTCAAAAAGGATCAGCTTTCATTTCGTTTGAGAGCTGTTGTAGAGCTATTTGCAAATACATCCACAAGTAAAGGCAGCACTCAATTTTTTACTAGACTTTTACAGATACAGGCCAAATTCAGTTACGGAGCAAAGATCCTTTGCAATATATCTGAAATGATGCACTGCTTGTTAGAGTTGATAGGCTAATAGAAGTAAAAAATCCAGATTTATTAAAATTACTAAAATTATTACAGTATAAATGTTTAATAATTTCTAGGTGATTTCCAAGAATGCATTCTGACTAATTACATCTTTTTAAACATAGTTCATGTGCAACGTACCACTACAAAGTGCTTTACTTAAATGATTTTTGTTCTCTAAAGGACAGTCAGATCCATGAATTTTTGTTATTGCTGCTGGCAAACCTGAAATACAGAGGCCAGAATTAGAGCCTTTTGAAATCAGTATATATGAAGTACTTAAATAAGTAATTCTTCACTATTTGTATAGTATTAATGTTCTATGTAATTGAATCTCACGTCCATGGATATAGCTTATGTTGATGTAAAAATAAACAGAACATACATTTAATAAGTATTTAATGGATACATTGCGATAATTAGGGAAGCAAGATTTGCAAAGGAAGATAAATCTTTTATTAGACCAAATTGAATAGGTTATAGATTGTGCAAGTTATATGATAGCAGTGGACCACTTTCACAGGTTGTTGCTGGTATTTCAGTACCTCACTCACAGAACAGATTCATGAGTCCCTGACCAAAAGAAGCCAGCTGTAAATAACGAACTGTCGTGGTTTAACCCCATCCAGACAGCTTGTGCACTCACCACCCTCCCCTTCTTGCCCTCCCCTGTTCTCGGAGGGACAGAGAGGAGAATCAAAAAGAATGCAACTCCCATGGGTTAAGATAAGAACAGTTTAGTAACTAAGGTATAACACAAATCATTACTGCTGCCACCAATAATAGTAATGATAAAGGAAATAACAAGGGAAGAGAATACAACACCTCATCACCAGGAGACCGATAACTCGCCCCCCCAGCCCGACCAAGCACCGACCGATACCTCCTCCAACCCTGCAGTCCACTTCGCCCTTCCGGGCAACTCCCAGTTACATCCTGGGCAAGACGTGCTGTGGTATGGAATACCTCT